AGTTTCTTCCTTGTAGGCTTGATATCTAAAATATTTTGTCATAGCATTAAAAAGATACATAGTTAAGTAGCCTTTGTCAGGGATGAAGCAAAACTTACTTTTTTCTATGTTTGGAACATTAAAATTATACAAATGCATTGAACTCCATTATGTTTTCTTTTTTCTCAATATACGGATGATAGAGTTAATAGGGAACTTTAAACTATTTCTTTGCACCTATTTTCCATGCTTAACATAAAGCTATTCTGGTTTATATTTCTTCTTGGCAAAGTGTTTCATCTGAGATTACTTGAGATAGTCTCTCTGAAGTCATGAATACCAATAACCCGTTACCATGCACTTACATTAAACAATCTTTTACCTGGATATTGCATTTGAGTTTCTTTAATATTTTGAGAATATTACTCCATACTATTCTGGAATTTGTTGTTGTTAAAAAAAAGTCTGAGTGTATTTCAATTCCTTTAGAGGTAATATATTGTTTTCCTCTTGATGCTTAATTTTCTTTTTATCTCTAACATTTTGAAGTTTCACTACAGTTTACCTACCTAAGAGTTTTTACACCCATCTATTTGGTAATACGTAAGCATTTTCTGATTTCTTTTTTCTTTCATTAATCCTGGAAACGTGTTGCGGGCTAGAGAGATAGCTTGGTTGGTAAAGTCTGTGCAACCATAGCACCCAAGTTGATCACCAGAAATTGTATTTTAAAAGCTGTGCATGGTGGCATGTTCTTATGATTTCAGTACTGGAGAAATAGGGACCCGCAGATACCAGGCTCCCTGGCCAGCCACCCTCATGCCACTGAGAACAAGGTGGAAAGCACCCTTGGAATGATGCCTGAAGCTGATCTCTGGCTTCCACATGAACACACACATACAGGTGCTCCCTCACCACAAACAAATACTTGTATGTATATGCACAAATTCATGTATGTACACACACATATATGCACAGAAATACACACATTTACAAATACGCATACAGATAAACACAGAAATACACACGCACACACACACACACAAACACAAACACACACCAATGTTTCCATTCCATGCATTTAATTATTTTTTTCTCAGGCATTCTTGATTAAGATAGTTTTATGCTGTTCTTCTGGTTTTGTCCTTGTGTTTAACTGTTTTTATGTCTGCCTGACTCTTTTTCTTCCCTCCTTCCCTCCCCCTCTCCTCTCCCTCCCTTCCTCTCTTTCTCATTGACACTTTCTGTGAGGGTTTATATATTAGTTTGAAACACCTAAGATGTTTCCGTTGCATTTATTTTATCATTCCGTTCATATCCTACTTTTTCAACATTTGTCTTCTTTATATTTAGCACTGTCAATGGGCCCTTCTTCACAACCCCTCTTCAGTTTCACATCCTCTAAATGTCCTCCTTGACCAATTCAATGATGTATATGAGTATTGATTTTATTTTAAATTTTCAATGTCTCTTAGATATATTCATTCCACCTTGCCTATTACAGATTGTTCAGACATTGACATCCTTTCCCAGCATTGTTTCTCAGATTCTTTATTATTATTTTTTACTAGATAATACCTAGTATTTGTGAATTATTAAAATATTTTGGAAAATATGCATAAGAGCAAGTTTAAAGCTGCACCCCTCTCTCGTGACACCCCCTGTCTCTTCCCCTGGTGAGTCTGATGGTGCTCTTCATGATAGCATATCTCTTGGGCTGTTATCTAGGTCCAGCTGCTATGTTTTTCCTGTTTGCTTTCATGTCAGGTGACCAAGAATGTCAGAGAATATCCTGATTAATCAATCACAGAATTCACTGTTTCTGCATTAAGAGCTGTGCTATGGTCAGCTACTCCTAAGTGTGTGCAGGAGGCCATACGTGATTATGGAATGATCTACGCCTCCACCCAGGTGGGCACATCTCTTTGACTGTTTCTAATAGGTGCTGTCAACTTCCTAGTATTCAGTGGTATTGAGGTAGAACAAGGCTTGCCAGGAGCACATGAATGACAAAATCAGTAATAATCACCTTCCCCAGCCTATTTCTCAGAGGAGATACTGAGACCTCTCCTGCTATTTAATGTGATTCTCACCCCTGCAACAAATACAAGCATGACATCATTGTTGTCTTTCTCTTTCTCTTTCTCTTTCTCTTTCTGGATTGTTTTTTTACTATTTCAGATCCACAATTTACGTTTTGCTTCGAAGGTGTCTCTAGTATTGAACTAGAGGGATGGCAAAGACAAGGGGTCATAGTCTCCTCCTCCTCCTCCTTCTTTTTGATTTTTGAGACAGTTTCTCTGTATAGCCTTGGCTATATTGGACTTTGTAGACCAAGCTGGCCTTGAACTCACAGAGATCTGCCTGCATCTGCCTCCCTGAGTGCTGGGATTATAGGTTTTCAGGCACTCACCACCTGTGCCCTGCTTAAGGCATCACAGTCTTTTCCTTTTTTTTTTCTAAATTTTTCTTTACAATTTATTCATGATATATCCCAATTGAAGTCCCCTCTCTCAACTCCCCCAGTCCCACCCTACCTCCTTCTTCCCCTCATCCCCTTTCCCTACTCTGCTGAAAGGGGGAGTTCTCCACTATTGCCATCTGCCCATAGCTTGTTAAGTCTCATCAGGACTGCGTGGATCCTCCTTGGCCTGGCAAGAGTGCATCATCAAGCGCAAGTGATCAGAGAGCAGTCAACTGAGTTTATGCTAGAGGCAGTCCCTGCTCTCCTCACTCAGATATTCACATGGAGACTGAACTGCCAATCGGCCACATCTGATCACGGGGCTAGGTCCTCTCAGTGCATGGTCCTCCGTTGGTGCGTCAGTCTCTGCAGGACCCCCTGGCTCAGATCTTTTAGTTTTGTTGGTCTCCTAGTGGGGCTCCTGTCCCCTCCATGTTTCTCTAGTCCTACCCCTCTCTTCCTCCATAAGATTCCTTGTTCTCTGCCCAAAGATTGGCCCTGAGTCTCAGAGTCTGCTTCGATACCCTGTTGGGTGAATCGTTTCAGAGGACCCTCTATCCATAGGCTCCCATCTGGTTTCCTTTATTCCACAGCTTCTGGTGTCTATCTAGCTTGCCATTCTGAATAAGATTTAAGCATCCTCCTTAAGGTTCTCATTGTTGTTTAACTTCTTTATGTATGTAGATGGCTAACTTATATTATACCGTTAATACCCACTTATAAGTGAGTATATACCAAGCCTGTCTTTCTCTTTCTGGGCTATCTGACTCATAGTCTTTTTAAGAAAAAGAAGTTAAGGCTGAACCCAGATTATAACAGAGTATATAACCCATTCTTCCAAGTAACTCCCAGGAGCAAGCAGTTCAAGTTAGAAGGTTGAAGTCACTTTTCTCCTACTGTCAACATTATTTCAGTGTTTTATCGCAAGCCAGAAACTCGTCCATTCAAGTTTTAGAGATAGTTTCTGTTTTTCTTTAACTTCCAGGAATGGCTATGTATTATAAACAACATTATGCTTCTTCGAGCAAAACAAACAAACAAAAACACTAGAAAGAAAATTTTACTAAAATATTATTTAACACAAAAATGAAATTACAAGGAATTATCTTGAGAACAGCTAAGTACAAAAGTAATGAATAGCATTGCCTTATTATCTTATATTACCAACTTACTGTAATCACTATCATAAATCCTGCATTCCTAAACTGTGCTTCACAAGGGATAAATATTAGGGTAAAACCTATGAGAATTGTTGCACGTGCTAACAGATAATGACCTTGTGTTCTTGGCCTACCCAGTACACATCTTACAGAGCAATAAAATACCAAGCCAAATTCTATCTGGAAACAATTCAGAATAGATAAGTAGAATGCATCTGTAGATGGTTTTCAAACGTTAGTCTGCACCAGAGAACTCTTGGTGCTTGCTTACCCCAAAGCATGAAAGAAGGCAAGCGACACTTATCAGGGCACTTGTGGCTTACTCCAAATGCACATTTTAAATAGTATCTCATTGTCTAATAATGCTGCAGGAACATCACATCATCCATTAAACTTC